ATGATAATACTTTTAAGATAATTAATAGGTCATGATTTCTCAAATTTTTAAAAACTACATTATCCATTTCATTTTATGCAATATAGTGGTGAAGTTTAATGCAAATTTTAAAAAGGAAAAATTATATTTTGCCTACCTAACTATCCGGAAATTTACACATTGCCTACAAAACTTTTTTTTTACACTTTGCCTACCTAACTTTGATTTATTGCTACACTTTGCCATTTCCGGTCACCGCCGGCCTCATAAACCAATACGTGGCTCTTGTGCCTTATTGACACGTGTGGCCGGCGGTGACCAAAAATGACAAAGTGTACAAAAAATCAAAGTTAGGTAGGCAAAGTGTAAAAAAAAAAGTTTGTAGGTAAAGTGTAAATTTCCGGATAGTTAGGTAGGCAAAATGTAATTTTCCCTTTTAAAAAACTACATTATCCATTTCATTTTATGATACTGTTATCTAACTCACAATTTTAATATTATATATGATATGAGATACCACCTTGGGTTGAATAAACCCGATAAACCAGCCAGCCAAGCTGGACGAACCGGTTGGTTGAGCAGAAGCACAGACAGACCGAACAGAGGTCGAGCGTGGCTACCGAACAATGAGTCCTCAAGTTGAAGAGGACGTTGCAGGTTCGAAAGGACATTGATAGGTCGAGCTAGGACCATAGGATAGGAGGGCATGGGTGAAGCTTGACCTGGAAGCGTGGCTGGTCGATGAATCGACCAGATGGACATGACATGCGAGCTCAACCACATAGCACTCTACCTCGAGATGGTTTACTCGCACAATTAGACCGTCTAATAAGGCGGACTAATGAATAAGAATGAATATTATTAGGATAAGGATCACACGTGGATATGACCACGTAACCTAATAGAATTGGGCGGTACGAACTGGCAGTTCGAGCAGCTTATTCGGGCAATCTTGGGTAGCAAGATAACACATTCCTATATAAGGGAGTGATGTATGCCCACTAGAACATTACGACACTCTACTTACTTACAATATTGTTTATCATCTCCTTCACGTTCTGACTTAGGCATCAGAGGCTTTATACCGAAAACTACTCCGGTATTGAGTTTGTGCAGGTATTGAAGGTCATCAACCAGCGAGGAGTCAGCTCAAACCAAATTGAAGACCTTTTATATATCAATGTACATACATATAACTTATAATGATTTAAACATCTATTCATATATAGGGTCGAATAGTAGTTATAATAACAAAAGTAATGTATGTAATCAACAATATTATAATAACAAAGGTAACGAATGTTTGTCAAGTATACATTGGGTGGTAAATACTCCCATACCCACGGTGGGCACATGTTAATATGTCCACCGCTTATGTGGCATGCATACATTGATTATGTTAATATATTACTCCCTCCATTTTGAAATATAAGGCGTATAAAAATTTCTCATTTTTTTTGAAATATAAGGCGCGCTCAAAAATCAAGACAAATTTTTGCATTTTTTTCCAAATATACCCTCATTGTGTTGAAATTAAGGAAGTGTGGAGTGGTTGTGATTAGAGTAAATAAGGTTAATTTAGTCAATTTATTCATTAATTAATGTCTCCTTAATATTTGTGCAATAACCTTAAATGCCTTATATTTCAAAATGGAGGGAGTAAAAAAAATACATCAGCAATGTGTGCGTGCCGCATAAATGATGGACATATTAACATGTGCCCACCATGGGTAGGGGAGCATTTCCGTAGATTGGGTAATTCAATTCATAGCCATTGCATAAAACTAGGTTACCTTTCCAAATTCCACAATTTTGACATTTAATGGCAGGGTGGCTTTCTCATTTCCAAAATCATTCCCATGCTTAAACTAATGATGCCTAAATTTCGAAAACTTAATCTTTACTTAAGTTGCAATCATAATTTTATCTTTGAAAGAAAAAAATCAGCATTCTTCCGACTTTTGACTCTTTGAAGTTTGAACCACATTATTATTATTATTATTATTATTATTATTATTATTATTATTATTATTATTATTATTATATACTTACCTTTCGTTTTGAGGAATATTTTGCATGCTTTCCTGTACAGGGTATAAACAAAACATAATCGGTATGGCAAATAGGCAAATACCGTATTGTCAACTGTTTGATAGTAAAATATATGTTCAAAAACCCGACGATTATGATACTCTTCCACGTCAACAACCAAATGACCAATAGAATTAGGACTCTTGTTTATAAAATAAATTAAAAGTAAAAATAAAAATGCGGACAAGTTGCATTGTGGCGATGGTGTAGCCACATGGGACAGATGGTTTCTCTTATGCATCATGTAACTACCACAATATAATAGTAATAATGATTGTTTATCTAATAAATCCTCATTATTTGAGATATTTAAAAACGTCATAACGGTAATTAACCAAATTGATAAGTGACCTAAGTCATTTTATCTTCCATTTTATAATTGTGTCGAATGGATAGGTTATAGTGTATTTCTCAATATAATTGAATCTAACATTTTTGCTAAATTAGCACAATACAACAGTTAGTGCAGTGATACAATTTAATTAGACGGATTGACTTATTATATTCTTCAAATAAAATAAATATATATAGCAATAGAAGTTATGCTTCTATGTTACTATGTTTNTACGATATGTTTTAATATATGTATGCATATTCGTAAGAATACTTGCAACTTTCAACCTAACAAAAGAAGTATCGTAAATTGTGCACACCAATATACTTTATACATTTAAATGTAAAAACCATGGTTTCTATTAAAAAAAATGTAAAAACCATACGTATATAATCTAAATATTATTGCAACAAAGTTAAACTAAACACTGTAGTTAAACATGAAAATACTACTTAAGATATGCCTTTTAAGACTGTCGTTTCTTTTGCGAAGACATACTTGAACTAATACCACACAAGTCCAATATCGTGCGACCAAATGGCGCTATTGTTCTTACTTTGTCTTGTCACACAAATACAAAGGTCCACATGAAACGACCTTTTTGTTGTGTCTACTGTTCTTATTTTCAACACGTATATGCTAATTAATCTCTATAAAATATAGCCAGTCATAAACGCGCATTTGATGAAGATTTAATTAATTAATTGATGTTAATACCTATAAATTTTTTATTTATTTCATAGCTAAATAATAATTCATTTCTTAATAATAATTAAGCATATTGTTGCCGATAAATACAAATCCAATAAACTGCTGTTCTGTATACTATAATAATTAGACAATCATATTTTTTCAATAGATATGTATAAAAAAAAATATGTAACGTTTTATAATATGAAAATACATTTTTGTTGAAATTGTATAATGAAACGACCCGTTTAATGTTTATGTGTCATAAAAAGAGTTTGTGATACAAATGTCATTGCTTTTAGTATATGGAAAGTTTTGATTTCATTATTTATTTATCACATTTAAATTTTGTTTAACACAAATAAAAGTATCATATTTAATAGTATAAATATTATTTTTTATTGAAAAAGTTATAATGAGTCGATATAGTTAAGCCGTCTAATATGAAAATTGTTGAATTTGCTATGTATTGCATCAAATTTAAATTTCATTTCACACAACTATTTTCTCAAAAGAAAAAAAAAAGGCAAATTACGTACTGATGAGAAATCGTAAAAGTTCATTTTATTTATTACTACCTCATTTTTTTTTATAAATGTTATTTTGACTTTATCAACAATTGTCTAAATAAATGACGCTTTTTTTCATTATTACCCTTATCTAGCTAATAAATACACTACGTCTTTTCATATTTATTCTTTATATTTTCTCAAAACATCTATCTCTATCCTCGTTAATGAGAGTTATTATTGATAAAAAAAATATTCTTAATTAGTGTGAAACTTCCCAAACGACATCTGTTAAGTTAAAAAAAAGAGAGAGTAGATATTAACTTCATTTCACACAACTATTTTTTCTAAAAAGATACCGAAAGAGAAAAAAGCAAAATTACTCACGAAAAGCGAAAATGTAATTTTATAACTCTGAAACACTTCCAACTGGCTAGACTTTTCCTTTCAAAATTAGCCTTTTTTTCATGTCCACTGATTAAGCAATTTGATTACCAATCTCTCTCTCTCTCACACACACACACAAAATAAAAAATAATACGTACTCATAAATAAAAAAAATTACGAGGCAATATAAAACGTCCTCAATCCGGACAAACATAAATACCGCACAAACATTCATCAAACATATTTTCACTTACAAACATACACAGTTACATAAACCAAAAAAAAAATAAAAAATGTCGAAACTCCAAAATTCTATCCTTCTTTTCCATGTCTTCATATGTGCAGCTTTTGCAGAATCTTTCAACATACCAACTGTTCCATTTTCCAAAGGCTTCACCAATCTATTCGGAGAGCCGAACATCGTCAAGGCCGAAGACGATCAATCGGTTCAACTTCATCTCAATCAAATCACAGGTTTGTGTGTTTTTTGTGTTTATAGATTTTTTGTTTAATTTTTTGTGATTCTTTCTTTAGCAAAAATTGGTTTTAAATTATTTACCTTTTTTATGATGATACAAATATATAGAATCAATTTTTTTCTTAGGATAAGATTTTTATGTTGATTGTGGCTACACAATATAGATATTTTGAAAGTATAAACTTGTCTTTTGTTTCAATTTATTTTTTAGATTTGCTGTTTTTCTAAATTTTATTTTATCATCTTCATAATTTTCTTTTCTTTTCTTTTTTTATTAAAATCTTCAATTAATTGTGGACAGGCTCAGGGTTTAGGTCCTCAAACCTCTACAATCATGGGTTTTTCAGTGCCAAAATCAAGCTACCATCAGATTACACAGCAGGAATTGTGGTTGCATTTTATGTAAGTTTAACCAAAAATAAAAAATAAAACTAATTTAATTAATTCATATTCATAAACATATATATATGTATAGTTAATTCATTAGACCCAAATTTAATTAATTTTGTGGTCATGCAATTTAATTTGTACAGACAACAAATGGAGATATGTTCCCAAGGACACACGATGAGCTCGATTTCGAGTTCTTGGGCAACATAAAAGGGAAAGCTTGGAGGTTTCAGACTAATATGTATGGCAATGGCAGCACAAGCAGAGGAAGAGAAGAGAGATATTACCTTTGGTTTGACCCTTCTAAGGAGTTTCATCGTTACAGCATATTGTGGACTAACAAGAATATTATGTAAGTCAATTTTTTATTCTTTTTCATTCTTTTTTGTTATTTTATTTAAATTTAATTCAAATCAAATTAAACTAATATTTTCCTTGGAGTAATATTAGAAAAAGGTAGTTAAGATCCCAATGTGAAAAAGGGCCGGAGTTCAAATCCCATAGAAAGTTATATACATTTTCCCAAATTATTCACATACAATTTGCTTTAATTCAGCAAGAAAATCAGCCTATATTGTAGGAATTTTATGATTTGGTTACAAGTCATAGTTACTTTTAAGATTCACATGTATGGAGAAAAAAGAGGATGGGGTGATTATGAAAAATAATAAGGATGAGTCACATGCATGGGCACTTGTTGAGAATAAAGTTATGGATGAACATTGGAAAGTCCTTTTGGTTTATTTATTAATAAATATTTTAGGTATGAAATTATGTGAACAATAATGGAAATGTTGTCCTTGTCAAGTTTTTAGCCCATGAAGGTGATGATGAAGTTATCACATGATCAAACCAATATTATGATTTGATTGGAGGTTACAAAATCTTAAAAAGTAGAAAACAATAAAATAACAAATTCTTGTATGAGATCACAATAATCCTAAGGCGAATCATATATCATACATTTTTAACAAAAAAATACATGTAATTCATACAATGATATGTCATGTTTTTATTTATATTGTTTTTTAGATGATGATATTTCAGTTTGAAAGTATGGATAATCATAATTTTCTAACTATTAAATTTGTCTGAACTGTTAAAAGAAACGAGTTGCTAATTCGACTGAAGCTCGGTTTAATTCTTTTAGTTAATAAGTGTTAAGAATTGAGAATATATATTCTTTTAGGTTTGCATTCATTTTCTTTCGACATACACGAAACACATAAACGTGAATTCAAGATGAAATACTTATATTTTATCATAAATTTTCAGATTCTACATAGATGATGTTCCAATCCGAGAGATTGTGAGAAATGAAGCAATGGGGGCCGATTTCCCCTCAAAGCCCATGGCCCTATACGCCACCATTTGGGATGCCTCCGATTGGGCTACCTCCGGCGGCAAATACAAGGCGAATTACAAATACGCCCCTTTTGTGGCGGAATTTACCGACCTTACCCTCCACGGGTGCGCGCAAAATCCGCTTGAGAAGGTGCCGGCGGCCGCCAGCTGTGTCGACACTAACGATAAGCTCGCCAGCGCCGATTTCGCTACCATAACCCCTAAACAAAGAATGTCCATGAAAAGGTTTCGAGAGAAGTATACTTATTATTCGTATTGTTATGACACGATAAGATATCCGGTGCCTCCACCAGAATGTGTTATTGATCCGGTCCTAAGGGAACAGTTTAAGCAAACCGGGCGGCTGAAGTTCGACTCGAAAAACCACCATCGGAGGTTCAAGAAAAGAGATCGAGTAACCGTGGCTAAAAGTTATGCGGGTCAATCCGATGTTTGATATAATATATTATTTGATGTTACTTATTTATCATGTTATGTTGTATAGTATACTATGGATTTTTATGTTGTTTTCATTTTTCAAAATTTCATATTTATATGATCTATACTTCCTTAGAGTTATAGCATATTTTGAAAATTCTTGTGTAAGCTAATTAAAGAGTGGATGATATAGATGCTACTTTATTTGTGGGAATAAAGTTATACAAATTGTTATGTGGTTTGTTTTGAAGTATTGGGGAATCAATGTATTTGCTACCTCTTTTTCTATTTGATTAATTGGTCTTATGTGCTAATTAATCAGTGAAATGAATATGTGACTTTGAAAGGGAGGGAGTAATATCTTACTTACGACCTATTCATGGATTTATGTCTTCATACATATCTTATTTTTATTTATTTTAAGACGTGTCAATACATAATTTTTGTGAAAAAATATGAATGACTCTATAACAACACAACAAAAATGGTATTAAATAGTAACCAATAGTTATGCTTGCTCAAAATATTAGAAATTGTGATTGTATACCATGTATATTGTTGATCAACGGATATGATCAACTAAAATTGTAAAATTTAGTGTAGATTAGAAGAGATTATTACTGTAAAATTGGGTCGAAATGATGAATTTCCGTGAAAATGGATTTTAGTGAGGTTGGGCTTTCGGGCCGTTAAAGTCGGATTTTGCCTTAAAGATGGTATTAAATGAGAGAATTTTGTCTTGTTACAAAGAGAATTTATTGATTCCCCTCTCTTAAATAGATTCATAGGACTATTTATAGTAAGACATGCTCAGTTCATTAGGGTCACATCAATTTAATAATTAAATGACAGACATTTTACGCAAACATGCTACTCTAGGGACCTGGGGGTCGTATGTCTGCAGTGGCGACGTGCGAGTCCCATCGATTATCATTTGACTGCAAGTGAGATTATTATAATGTTTCTTCTTCTCTGAGTGCTTTGTGAACTACAACTCTTGTAGAACTTTGAGGGCGAATTATTCGCGACAGTTTATTGTATCTTCGTCTTTAGACCAACATTCATTTCATGGAGCCGACCAGGATGTTGAACGGAAGTCTGACCTCAAGTTATGCTAATTGCACTTTAGCGTTATTTCTCCCCAACTCTTCTGGCGTGTCGAGGTTGGGATACCTTGCTTACGATTTCCGATCCCCTGATGCTGGACAATAGTCCTACTTGAGGCCCCATCTTCCGTACGATTATTTATTAAATTCTTAAATATGATTAAACTTCGTTCTCTCTTATTTTCCAACTCGGATGTCAACACATACTATTTGACAAAATTATATGCTCCAAGAAAGCAACTTAGTTTTATTTTTTCCTTATTTGTGCCAGTAAAACAACCATAAATCTAATATATTTCCAAAAATTAAAATAGAAAAGAGAATGAAATCTATATATATATATAATAAGAATTAACATTTTTCAAAAATAGTAAGTCAAATTTTGGTCAAAATCCTATCTGCATAAATTACATGCCCTTTTTGACAACTTTTTTTTTCCTACAAAAAAATCGGGTAGCATTAATTGCTGCCCTTAAAATGTGAGATTTGTTCAATCACAAAAGATTTGAACACATTTTTAGAGATTAAGACCCTTATTTTAAATTAAATTTCAAAATACAGTCAAAATTTATATAACCGACTAAGATTTGTAATATTTTTTTAAAACAAATAGACAGACATTCAAATAGAAAATGAGACTTCATTTCCGGTATTCATTTTTTTCGACTGAATAAAATTCGGATTTCGACCGAAAATTGAAAAATTATTCCAGATCTGTTCATTAAACTTACGAAATTTCTAAAATCTACAAAAAAAAAAAAGCAATATGAATCAAAATAATTGAACAACACATTACATAAGTCTTGATATTCAAAACAAAAGCTTTTGAAATGGTCGAAATAGTAATAACATAGTCAGTTTTTCATCGGTTTCGACCAAAAAACAAACATAAAATCTTAGAACACGCAAAAAAATATAACAATCAAAGGAAATAAAATAATAGAGGCATCTTTTTAAACATAAAGACAAGATATAATATCGATCTATCTAACATAAGAAATCGACTCGCAATAGATGTGATTGATTGTTTAAAAAATAGAGCATTTTTATGAAAATTTGAAAGAATATTTTATCAAGTTTCTATAGTGATATAAGAGAGAGAATAGAGAAGGAAAGTGGTGGGAGGAGGAGAAGTAATGACATAACCTTAATAATTTGGATATTTTTAACTTTTTTAGATGACATCTTTGATTTCTGACCGTTAGATATCGGTTGACTAATTCAGACCGTCTGATCAATTCTTTTAAGCCATAACGGGTTGAGATGTTGGGTCGCGCTTAATGATTCGGTCTGCTTTCATGGTTGGATTTCATTTGGGTCAATTTAATAATATGTTATTGGCCCGTTAAATTTGACCCGACCAGTTTAGTTGAGTATATTATATTGTTGAACATAATTGGGCTTCATTTTTTTTTTAAAAAAAGTAGACAGGCTTCGCTATATAAAAATAAATAAAAATATAAATTCCATAAATTATTATAGCCGTGCATAGCACGGATTACTCAGAGTAATAATAATAATAATAATAATAATAATAATAATAATAATAATAATAATAATAATTTTTGAAACCTTGCGTACTCAAATTTTCACACGTGACATAATAATTCTTTCTAAAAAAGGTATCAATAGTGATTCCTCACTTACGTGATTCGAACTCAAAATCCATTTATAATTGTTATTTAATATTGTTTACCCGTTCATCGCACGGGATACGCACTAGTGTAATGATAACCATTCTATTTTCCGTTAATTCACAAGCGACAATTTAATTTAATATTTGGGCGAAATCACCTTCGTGCAAACTTCTTCTATCATTACCAGAGCTAGGATCGATATAATTGAGAAGAAGCAATCTCTCTTTTTTAATCCAAATTATTATTTTCCATACAAAATATATTTTGAGGAATGATTATTTCATGAATTGCAGTCCTCATATGGTTTGCAAATATAGGCCTACCAAAAAGCCTGTTGGACTTGATCTTGACCCATAACTTCTATAATGGTTCAGGCCCAACTATATAAGGCTTTACACAACCAGAACACAAGTCTATTATAGCAAAGAAAACTTTATAAAATACTTTAAAAATACAACTTTATAAAATACTTTAACACTAGTCTATGACTCTATAACAGAAATTTTTTTTATAAAATAACACAAAGAAAACATTATAAAATAGGTTAAAATACTTTAACACAAGTCTATAACAAAGAAAATTTTATAAAATACTTTAAAAAAAAACTGGACTTTAAAATTGGAAATTTTGGTAATGATATTTTTTATTTTATTAGTTAAATCAATTTCCTCAATTTTTATTTTTATTCAGTATTTCCAAATTTACCGCCCTGACTGAGCTGAAAAAGAAACCACCGGCCACCGCACTACCGCCGTCGATCAGCCAGCTCCCTCGCCGCAGGTCCCCGAAAATTGGCGGAATTCCTCGACCTCGAAACGCAGGACTCCGTCCGCATGCCGTGGAATGTCCTCCCCGGCACGAAAGTGGAGGCCGCGAAATGCGCCGTACCGATCTCCGCCGTCTACACACTCTTAAAACCCCTGCCGGCGTCCACTCCGCTCCTACCTTACTCCCCTCTCCGGTGCCGGAGCTGCCGATCCGTGATCAACCCGTTCTCGATCGTTGATTTCTCCTCCGTGAACAAGATATGGATCTGCAGCTTCTGCCTCCAGCGCAACCACTTCCCGCCGCACTACCAGTCTATTTCCGATCAGAATTTTCCGGCAGAGCTCTTACCTCAGTACACGACGATTGAATATGAGACCACTGCTCCGAACGAGCAGCCGCTGGCTGGGAGCAGTAATGTTTTCTTGTTTGTTGTGGATACTTGTGTTATTGAGGAGGAATTGGGCTTTCTGAAGTCCGCCCTGTTGCAGGTTTGGTTGTTATTCTTCTTGACATTGGTGAATAAGAGTGCTTGATTGTGGACGTACACACAGATTTTTGTTCCCTTATTTTTGGTCATCTGTCTTATGATCTTGAGCTGTATCTTGTTAGTGGACTTATTAGTTAACTGATGAAGTGACTGTTTGTTCAAAGTACGAATATTGACAACATCATCTGGAGTATTATAGAATTCCAACTCATTTTGTGGTTAATTATGTCTCAAATCTCTGTTATAATTCTAAAAGTTCTAAGCTGTACAAACATTAAGTCGATCACCATTGCGTCAATATTATCCTATCTGTGGACCGTACGTTTATTTCATGGGCAATCTATTTATCTGGAATGCAGGTGTTGGGAATGGTGCCCGAGAATTGTTTGGTAGGGTTGATTACTGATAGGTCGAAAAATGTGTTTATTTTATATGTTTAATAGTGTATTTTTATACATTTAATTTATTCGCACATTTATATTTTTTGCCTTATTTATTATTTAGATGGATTCATATACATTAGTATTTTTATATTTATTTTCAGCTCATTGGAGTATTTTATAGACGCAAAGCATTGGACGGAAATTCACGTAATCAATTATCGAGACGTCCGATACCCGTTAATTTGGCCTGCGGTTGAACATTAAAATTAGGTCCAATTTGCAATTCGCAGCACATAAAAGAAATAAAGAGCCCTTGTCTTGTGATTCACGTGAATGGACAAGTAATTTTGACCAATTACTCTTAATTGGTTGAAAAGTCCAACTCCATTAAAAATTATTTAGGAAAATTGTAATTGCTGGGAGCAACTTAACGCAAGCATTAGGAAGTGGATTTTGGAGAGGAGTCTTTGGAGATTTATTTGGAATAAAAAAAATAGCAATCAACGTGGAGTCATATATATTTGGCGGAGGATTATTATTTTCTCTACACTCTACAGAAGAGACGCCAGACAGACACGGAAAAAAGCTACGCACAGAAAAGCCGAGAAGAATACCGCACGGACTGGGAAGAAGGCTACACACGCGGAGGAAAGCCGCACCCGCACACGAGGGAGATATTTTTATCTTCTCTCTTTTATCTTTTATTTATTTTTATTAGTATGTTAGGCTAGTATTTTTATCTAGTTTGAGGGGATGTTTGAACCCTAATTCTGATTTGTCTATGAATTGGATGATCTCTATTTATCGTTAGTTAATCGAGACGTCGTATTTAATTTTGTCGATGAGTTGATTCACGTTATCTGTGTATTGTGTTTATGAATTATGGTGTTTGATTTGGTTTGGCCAACTACGTTAAATATTCATAGTTTAATTGCTATATTCGAGGCTTTAATCCGTAATTGTTATTGTTCTCGTTTCGTTAGTAGTAAACTAGGGGTCGTGCATCTCTAGGGTAGCGTGAACATAAGTTAAACGGTCCGAGCTTTTACGTCCGTTGCTTAGACTGATCTATTTTCCTAGGAATTAATGCTGCTAGTGAATTAAATCTAGAGAGATTATTCTAGGTTGTCCACTAATTAGGTTTAGTCGAAGAGCTTATTTCGATTAAATATTCAGTAAGGGAAAATTCGGTTAACAGAGCTTGTTGTTAACTAGGATCGGTAATTCATTAGCAATTTAAAAAAAGCGTCGAAATTAATTAACGGTAGATTGCCATTGGATGATAACTGAACCGAAAAATTGGATTTCACTTATTTATTTGATTTTTATTTTCTTATTTTTATTTTTATTTTTATAAAATCAATCTCTCAATCTTTTATTACTACTTAGTAGAGGTTTATTAAGAAAAAATTATAAATACTATTAGTTAGTAGAGGTTTGTTAAGAAAAAATTATAAATTTAAATTTGCCGCGTGGCGACTCGCCGGGGACATACGTACATGTTCATGAACTGGGGTTTGGGCAGATTCCAAAGGTTCACGTGTTCAAGGGGTCAAAGGAGGTGAGTAAGGATCAGTTGTTGGAGCAGATGGGCTTTTTTGTAAAACGGCCAAGGCCAACTGCAGGTGTCATTGCAGGGGTGAGAGATGAACTATCACATGAGAGTATAGCGAGGTTTTTGTTGCCTGCCTCCGATTCTTAATTCGGTATGGTTCTGAAATATATTGTTGTCATCGTTTTTTTTTTATTTTTTTATTTTTTTATTTTTTTTTAGTTTCAGTTCGATTAGTTGATAAAACCTCAATATCGTCGTTTTCTCCTTTTCTTTTATCCCCTTGTTCGCAAGATTTTAGAGGAGCTTCAGAAAGATCCTTGGCCGGGTGCATCAGATCAGCGGTCTGCTAGATGTACTGGTACAGCATTAAGTTTGACCGCTCATTTATTGGGAGTATGTGTTCCTGGTTCTGGAGCTAGAATCATGGCATTCTTGGGTGGACCCACAACAGAAGGTCTAGGAGCTGTAAGTTCTTCATGTCATGTCTTGATCTTGAATTAGTTCCAAAATGTAACTCTAGTATGATATCCATTTTGAAAGGTTTCTCAATAGTCGGTGCTTATACCAAGGACTTCAGGGGTGGCCTATATGGTGAACAACTGGAAACTGTAATACGGCAATTTTGTGCTGTACTACCTTAAGTAATGCGTATTGTTGTTTAATCTCTTGCGGTATAAAGTATTTAGTTCGCATGTTTTTCTATAACTTGGTTCTGATGGAGAACTGAAGCCGCAACAAAAAGTTGAGAGAGAGAGAGAGAGAGAGAGAGAGAGATTATTATTGAATATTTTCACCAATGACCAAACTCTAAGTATGGTATCATCTGCAAATATCTTGTTCATAGCATGCTGCTATATATTCCATTTAGTTCGTATGTCAGCTACAGAAAAATGGTTGCTAGCGTTTCTCTCAGTTTTGGCTTATTGGACAGAATATTGTTAAAAGGACCCATGATAAACTATCAGTGAGAATTTTGGTCTATTGCTTTTGCTTTAATTCTTTCTGACCAGGAAATAGTACCTTTTTATCCCCTAAATTGGCAACTTGGCCTACAACTATTTCTGAGATATGCCCCTTGCCTAAAAGCAGCTAAACCTACAAATTGTTTGGGTTTTGATTGTGAAATTAACTTGGACAGGGAATAACTTAATTTCTTTATTTGTCTTTGCAATAGTCAAGAACAAAGTAATTTATTTTCCTTTGCAGATAGTTTCTAAAAATCTGTCTGAGCCTATACGTTCTCACAAGGACCTGGACAAAGATTCTGCTCCCCACTATCACAAAGCAGTGAAGTTTTATGAAGGACTTTCAAAACAACTTGTTCATCAGGGCCATGTCCTAGACGTTTTTGCTTGTGCCCTTGATCAGGTCTTCATTACCTTTAGCTTAACAGTTTGGTCTTTTTCTTCTTAAACCTACATTTTCTTTTATATAGCTAGTCATCGACGTGGAGATAGGTATCCAGCATTTGTTTTAAAAACTTGTATTTATCAAGCAAAGTGGCTGAGCCTACAAGTTATTCATCTATTGATGCTGAAATAAGTAGCATTCATTCTTTGTTTATACTTGTGTTCACTAGGTTGGAGTTGCTGAACTTAAAGTAGCAGTTGAAAAAACTGGAGGACTTGTTGTTCTTGCTGAAAGTTTTGGCCACTCAGTTTTCAAGGAGTCTTTAAAATGTGTTTTTCAATCTGGTGATCATGATCTGGAATTGTCATCAAAGTAAGGTTTAGTTTAGATATGCATTTTCTCTTTTTGTAGGACAATTTTCTGGAAGGATCTAGATAAACCTTTTTATGTACTGAATTGGTATTGGACCATGTTTCTTTTCCCGCTTTTCCAAGCTTCGAATGGCATTGGATTTTCCTGCTACAGTGTCTTTTGCTGCGAACAGCTTTGCTGACTAGTTGAAATTATCACTCATGAGGTCTTGTTTATTTGATGGATTGTGCAGTGGTATATTGAGATAAGCTGTTCAAAGGATATCAAAATTCAGGGAATTATTGGCCCTTGTGCATCACTTGATAAGGTGTGATTTTTTTACTTTCTAAATGATCCTATCTAATCTCCGCATGGCTGACTTACAATTTTAGCGTTGTGCAGAAAGGTCCTTCTTGCTCTGATACTGTTATTGGACAAGGAAATACTACTGCGTGGAAGTTGTGTGGCCTTGACAAGACTACCTCCTTATGTATAATAATTGATGTTAGCAAGAAAGAGAGCCCAGATTTTATAACTCCGGTCAACAACCAGTTTTATTTCCAGTTTCTGACATAGTATGCATTAATTAATTAAATTTTAATGCGTATGAGCAACCAGCTAGCTTAGCCTTAATACTTTCAGTGATATTCTTCTCCAGTTATCAGCATAGCAGTGGACAAATGAGACTTCGTGCCACTACTCTGTCCAGAAGATGGGTTGCTGGACCTGGAAACAAAGAGGTAGCATCTACGTAGTTTGTTTTTCAATTATGTTCCAACCTGCTCATGATAAAATAGACTGGAATGCAGAAGCATAGATCTAAATACAAAAAATAATGCATTATTAGCAATAAACAATATTTTTTCACTATGATACAAGAAAATATGCGTTTACACAATTTTTTTTTAACAGTAGCTTTTTACATGTTATACGATAGTTTTGCATCTCTATACAACTTTTATGAGAAAGATATGTTGCTTTTAAGTATATATCAACTTAAATAATATTAAATGGGTTTTTCTTAATGTGAAAGCGTACACACACACACACGCACACACAAGAAAACCTTTATAATTATAAAACAATGCAGGATGCCTAATTTGTTCACTTGAGTTATATTCTGCAGGACCTAATATCGGGATTTGACCAGGAAGCAGCAGCAGTAGTAATGGCACGCCTTGTTTCTACCAAAATGGAAACCGAGGTGACATTGTAGACTATTTTTTAGAAAAGACGTAATGATCAAACTTTTCATACATCTATAGGCAGTGTTGTAATTTAAAATAAATCTGCAACATAAAATTTCGACTTGTGATGAAGTGGTAGTGGAATTTTCTTAGTCTGACAACATTATGAATGCTTGTTCATTGTGTTGACGATGATGAGCTTCCAATAGTTGTTGAAGTTAATATAACTACAATATTTTTTATTTTCTGTGGAGATGTCCATATTAGTTTCTAATTAGTAACTAGAGTACAATTCTTAAATATAGGATTGAGTGGTGCACCCCTTCAATGCCTGTTGGATATCCCAACATGGACAATGATTATTCCATTTTATTCTTCCTTATAAAACACAGACTTAATTCATGTTCCTTACTGATTCTTCTGAATTCTACAGGCTGAATTTGACCCTATAAGATGGCTGGATAAATCATTGATACATATATGTTCTCAATTTGGGGAGTACCAGAAGGATAGCCCATCTTCTTTTAGTTTGTCCCCGAGACTATCAATATTTCCTCAGTTCATTTTTCATTTACGGTGTTCACAATTTGTCCAGGTACGTGATTTAATATTTCTTATAGATGCTGATTTTCCTCGAATGTGCTAGAAAAAGGACATCATTTATAGATAGTTGATTTTCCTGCTCATTCTTGTGCACTGTTATGTTCTTGAGCTTTAATATTCTTAAACTTTTTTTTTCTTCAGGTCTTCAATAACAGTCCCGAGAGACAGCATACTTTAGAATGATACTGAACAGAGAAAACGTATTTAACTCTGTTGTCATGATTCAACCGTCTTTGATTTCCTACTCTTTCCATTCTGGACCAGAACCTGCTCTTCTTGATGTCATTTCAATTGCTGCTGATAGAATACTCCTTTAGGATTCGTATTTCACTCTTGTTATATTTCATGGATCAACCATTGCTCAATGGCGAAAAGCTGGATATCATGAACTGCCCGAACATAAGGTAAATCCTGTTGCTCAATGACAACAGTCTGTTTTATTTAAAGTAAATGTACTGGGAACCCTGAACTGTTGGTAACAGATTACTCTTTAGTATTTTTTTTTTTTTTTTTTTNATTTTTTTTTTTTTTTTTTCTCGCAAATTTAATTACAATCTCTTCTTACTTATTTAATTAAGTCACATTATAGAAATCTAAGAATGCCAAATTCTAGGTAAGCATTTTGTATGACCACAAGGAGTTTTGTTTAGGATTATGTCATGCAGCCTTTCGACATTGTGGTTAGCCTGGTTTTGTTTTCAATTGAAGCCAATCTTTGTATGCATCTCAATTATTGAAATTGGTCAGTTGCATTTTCTATTATAGGCGTTTGCTAACTTGCTACAAGCTCCACGTGATGATGCGAATGCCATAACGGTAGATAGATTTCCAGTACCTCGCGTTGTAATCTGTGATCAGCATAGCGGACAGATCTCATACAGAAGAAACAGGAGGTACATTTGTTGTCAAAATTCAGTAAATTCCAGTCTAGCATGTGAGATTTATTGTGTTCTTATAATGAGTTAATTTTTAAGTGTCTTAGATTAGAAATCCAACTAAATCTAAAGATAATTAATCTCATGAACTGCGTCTTAAATCAGAAAAATGCAATTTTGGTAAACTAACTTTTTTTTTTTTCTCATTTTTATCAACTAGCCTTTTAGTAGTGCAACTTGGTATAATAACTTTTTAATTTTTTTGTCAATTTCGTCTAATAGTTTTTTAGGGTTTCAACTTTCAAATTTTTATAATAATTATTAATTTTGTATTAATTTTATCAAAAATTTTAGTTTTTGATATATATCCAATTAAAGTTATTGACTCGATCTATGAAAATGTCCTTTGAATTTTGTCATATTATTGACGATAAAATGCTGACAAAGCATTCTAAAATATTTCAAATTGTAGTCTTCATTTTCATCCTTATTGGAGATTTGACATTCGAATAATTTCAATCCTTAAATTAAATGATTATTTCAAAAAGTTTCGATTTTCGAAAGATATATTCTAAGGGAAGATGAACAATTAGATAACGAGAATCTAATAACATTGAAATTACAATTTACGAACAACTAGAATTCACTGTTGTGGACTTTGATTGCCATCAATTCCTTTTCCAAATGCCTTTTATAAAATTAGTGAATGACATCTTGCTTTATTCGTATTTTCTTTCTCTACGAAACTATTTAATTTATTTTATGTTTGTAATCACTATTACGAATATTTATAAATTAAAAATAATTATTAAATAAATATTTATAAATTAAAAATAATTATTAAATAAATATTTATAAATTAAAAATTTGGAATTGGGGTTATCGACGTCAAGATCGACCTCGAAAATCCCGGTGGTGGGCATGTTCCAATCGGACGGCCAGAGACCCACGCATCATCGAAGCTGGGCTCCAAGTTTCTCTTGGTATCATCACTCGCCATGAATAGTGGTGTTTAAAGGCAATTCGAATGAAGTCCCACAGATGGCGTCAAATGGTAGTGCAAATGACCTCGACCCGGTTGAACGGCCTTTGATTCGTCCACGAGTCGGTGAATGACATGCAAAATAATGTCGGGGATTGTCCCGTCAAAGAATCCGATGCTTAAGTTAGTAGTGATAGAGAAGTAGAACAATATAAATTTTGTATAAGTCTATGTAGTTAAAAGTGTGTAGCGTGTAAATGATCATATATCACCCCTTATATAGGAGTGTCACATTGTTGCCCAAGACTGCCCGATTGGGCTGCCCGAGCTACCCGTTCGTACTATCAAGGTGCCCAAACTGTTCAATTCTGTTAGCCCACATGGTCATATCTACGTGTTCGTCTTATCTTATTTATATTCCTTCTTATATATTATGCGGTATATATGTTCATGTTATCTTACCTCATTAGGTAGTCTAATTATGCTACCAGCTCGATTTCCCTTGAACTAGGTTGCTCCGGCGACTTACAGGTGAACTTATCTCTTAGGTCATACATCGGTCTGTAGACCTCCAGGTCGAGTTTCAATCAGACTAGTTGAGAACCCTAGCTCGAGTTTTTGGCGAGCTATATTATCCATAGGGTCACCATCGACCTGGTGTTTCCACGACATCTAACGTCCTTGTTGTCTGACCGACTTATTATCGATGTAGTCGATTTAGTCGGAATGCTCTTTAGGTCGAACACGACCTGATATGGTGTCCCATATCACCGGCAAATGTCAGTTTTCTTCAAGTGTTTATTTTGCAATTTTGTCTTCATGATATGATAGGTTTCATACCACGCAACATAAAATAAACTAATTAATTCATGAATATAATAAAGAGAGAAAATTAAACTAAAAACTTTGACTTTCCACGTCTTCAGTTTGAATGAACATACTTGTCAATTCGTAAAGTATAAAGTCACCCCGAGTCCCCGACATGCCAATTGCCAAGAGTCAGCTTTGTGATTTGGGCCATTTGGCCTTTTGTTTTCGAAAGTTTGACTGACACGGTAGAAATTAAAATCTTACAAATGCTTAAATTAACAAATAACAAAGTGTCTATTTCACAATAATAATAATAATATTTATACGCATGTACAGTTAATTTCACAATCCAAGCCATGGTCCATGTGATTCAACTTATTTGTTTTAAAATTTACTAATTTTGTAGCAATATATTCACAATTATAAATACCCTTATTGGGATGAAGGGGACTGTCGTTGCGAGTTGTGTTAATTTAAGAGTGTAAAACTTAAGAATAATTTAAGAGTGTAACAATAAATTCTAGCAATAAAACATAAATATTTTGCTCAAATTGAATTTTATTTCAATTAAATAATTTAGCAAATAGTTGATTGATCATAAGTATGTAAGTAAAGTCAATTTATGATTATATATGTATACCCTTAATTTGGAAATTATGATTTCTTGTTTTGTAATAATTACTTTTCTTAAGAACATCACAGAAATTATGTATAAATACTTAACTATTATGCAATGGGACATTAGGACTTATATACCTTTCAAATTAAAAATTTAGTATGTCATATATTAAGCCATACAAATAAAATCTATAATCATCGATTTGACGTATGAACCCCACACCCACCCCCCACCAATCAAGGTCAATTAAGCACCTTCTTTCATTTCGCACATTTTTTTGTCTCAACTACAAATAATGATAAAATGAAATTTAAAATAATTATTAAGAAGAGTCCAAACTAAAAGTCCTAATTCGTGATGGTAAAAATAAAATTAAAGACAGGCATAATAATAATATGATGGCAGAATGTAATTAACTTGCAAGTCTGACGATTACGAGTGAGTGGAATGTGATTTGTGAACAGTACAGTTTTAGAAAAACAAAAAAAAGGCTTCAAGTCAATCACGAGGGTTGTGAAACGGACGTATTTTTTATTTTTGGAAAAATTATAAGTTTCAAAGATAATCATATTTTTGTTTGAATATTATCTCCTAATTCTTAAGCGTCCTATGGTTAAGCCTTAAATCAATGCTTAATTTGCCTAACCTTTTACCGAAAGTAGGTTGAAAAATAATAATTTTGTTACCGAGGGTTTAGTTAAATTTTCGATTTTACTATTCTAAATTCTAATTTAACGAACTTTAATTGATATCTTAAGTTCCATTCGATAATCACATTTGGTACATTCTGTTCATTCAACAAAGATTTACTAAAAAATTTATCCATTAAATTTTCAGAAAAAATACATTTTTAGATAGCATATCATTCAAAATATACAAAATTACATGTCAATTTTCTGTCCGAACTTTGTATCATTGAAAAATAGACAAAGACAAATTTTACATATGCAGTAAATTTGTCGCCCAATTGTCAAAATATCTACAATTCCGATCCACAATGGGGGTATTGTTTTGTTGCACTATTAAGAAGACATGTTTGATAGAAAAATTGTTTCTACAATAATTAATGGATGAAATTAATTAGAGTGCCAAAAGCCAAAAGTTCCAATTTCCAAAAGTGAAAAGGTAGATAAATTTGGGGTGCCAAAAATAAATTTACATCGGCTTCCCGTATTCACCACACTCCCTATAAATAGCATGCCTCACCATAAGCTACTCAAGGCACAAACATTAAACACACCAAAAGTGAAGCCAAAGCCAAGACCAATTTGCTATTCCATATCACAAAAAATAAAAAAAAAATAAAAAAAAATAAAAAATAAAAAAAATGGCACGAACATCACTTTTGGCCATAACTCTTGCCTTAGCCATCTCCATCCAAGGCACTCTTGGTAAGTCATCTAATCACATTCACATTCACTAGTGTTTGCTCATTTTACTTGAGACTAATCTCTCTCTCTCTCTCAATGAAGGCGACATCCACTGCGAAGACCTGAACGAGAACTCGTGCGCGTTCGCAGTCTCGTCCACGGGCAACCGTTGCGTGCTCGAGAGCCGCAGTTTCCTGCGCAAGCCCGGGTCTTCGGACGAGTACACTTGCCGCACCTCCGAGATCACGGCATCCAACCAGCTCACCAACTACATCGAGACAGAGGAGTGCGTCACCGCATGTGGGGTCGACATGCGTGCCCTAGGCATCTCCTCCGACTCCCTCCTCGACCGCAACTTTGTCGACAAGTTCTGCTCCGAGCCGTGCTACAAAAATTGCCCCAACATCGTCGACCTCTACTTCAACCTAGCTGCCGGAGAAGGTTACTATTATTTAATTATTCATTTGTAATATTCAATACATAATTATAAGTATATGATTAAATAACTGCGAGGTACAGGGATCAAACCCTGGCTGGTTAATCGAGGCAACTTAATTGAAATATTACATGTTGACCAGGCGAATAACTAATTTTTAAATATTTACTTAATTATTTACTTTAGTATTTTAAGGAGGAAAAGACATAAAAATTGGTAAGTTTTTGTTGGACGTTTTAAATTTATAATCGTGGAAAATTTGGGTATTGGCAGGAGTGTACATTCCAAAATTCTGTGAGATGCAGCGCTCGGGCGCACGGCGTGGGATGATTGAGCTTAACAGTTATCAGGCCAGCGATATTTTCTCGACCGAGAGCCTGGGCCCGAGCCCGGCCCCAGCCCCAAGCCCGGCCCTTTATTGAAGCTTCTTATGAAGAATTTTTAAGTCTTCGAAGTCGAAAACTATCCCCTAAAGTCAATTTGGTCCGATGCAAGGCATGGTGAAAGAAAGAAAGAAAGATACAATAATCAATGATAATGGAATAAAGGATATGTTGATATCCAGCTTACCTATTTAGTTAGTATGCA